ACTATTAAAAAAAGGAGCTAAAATTATGTTAAAGCGTTGCAGAGATTGAGGATGCTCCAGTGGATGTGTGACTTAACACTTAGATCATCTTCATCCAAACTACATACCACTATATGTCGTTCGTCATTCGCTGCATTTGAACTCCAAATATCACGCTAAAATTCGGTAGATGAACCGTGCGACACCAATATTGACGTCAAACTGTTCACCTACGCCAAAAAACCCTCGCTTACGAATTTGCCGAATAAGAGCGATTAAGAGGAGAAAAGCGCACAGAAGAGGAGAGAGATGGTTACCTTCGTAGGGAGCGTGCAAAAGAGAGAAATGAAGTTCGATTGGAGATGAATTACGTCATTTTGATACTAGATTTAAAGCGTAAAATGGATTTTTCGATTGGAGATGCCCTTAGAAATAGAATGTGAAATGAGTATATAAGTCAAAATGTTGAAGTAGCTCTAGATAGATATTAGATTAGATAGTATATGCATTATATCTAATTTGTGTTAAGAAAGGTAGACATAGACCTAGAAAGTCTTGGTTCAAATGTATTAGAAATGATTTTTTATTAGATTTAAATAAGAATTTAACTCCTAATCAAATATAATGGAGAAAAAAGATCAGATAGCCGACCCCATGTAGTGTGATAGAAGCTTGATGATGTTGTTGGTTTATTTTTAGGAAATACAAAATTCTTAAGGTATTTTAATTTTTAACATCTCATATATTTTTTAGCATGAAGTGATCCAATGGGAAATAATTAAGAAATTCAAGTAGCAGCTATTTTATTATCTACTCAACTCTGGCTTTATGTTAATCTTTTGCCATAGCTAAGTTTTTTTGTTTTTCTCTCTTAGATCGGCTTTATTGAATTGTTACCAGAATATCAATCCTTTTGATTTATGCTCCCTCTTTTGATATTCTCAATAAGGCTTCGTTTAGGATGACTTTCTTGATGCTTTTTAAAACAATTTTTTAATATAAATTTGTTAATATTTTTTACTAAAATGCTGCTTAAAAAGCAGTAAGAAAATAACCCCAAATGAAACCTAAATCATATAACTAAAAAATTATCCATTATTACGACCTCCACATCCATCTACAATTTCTCTTGTTGTTATTCAAGTATATTTTGGAAATATAAATTTTTAAGTTCTTTCTCTTGATTTCTATTGATTTATATTTGAGTTTAGAAACCTTATGTGGTTTATCTGTCCTTTAGAATCTTTTTTGACTTTAGAAAGTATAGTCCTTTATCTTTTATCTTTTTTTTTTTTCAAATCTTTTATATTCATCATTAACTACTCTTAAGGAGTCTAGAATGATCCATCAAGACTTACATATAAGGGTCCATGATCTAACTTAAAATTAAGGCATTAAAGCTACTTCAAGTCATCTTAAAGGTATATTGTGTTATCTCCACAATATATCATACAAATATCTCTTCTTTGTATTATGTTATAATGCTAGGGAAAGTTATTGGTGTCAAAATAGATTTTCGGGTCAAGTTTAGGTTGAATCCAGAATTGACCCGGGTCCAAATGGGTTGACCCAAACACGACCTAACCCGCGAACCTGAAACACAGCGAACACGAGTGAGTTCAACTAGAGCAGATGCGTGTAGGGTGTGGCATTGAGGCGCTGGAGTGGGCCTGCAATGGGTGCCTGGACGAACGCGGGATCAGCAAGGGTGAGACAGGGCGCGGGTGCGAGAGGCCGGTGGCAGGGTTGAGCTGGGAGTGTGTACGAGGCAGTATGGCAGGCCGCAGGTGCACCGTTACAGAACTGGAAATGCGTGCACGAGTAAGGGCTGCAAGGTAGGCGGCCGATGTTGCAAGATGCAGGGTCAAGCCTCGAGCGTGGGAGAGGCCGGTGCGAGTGCGACGTGCGCCATGCAAGATGCGGGATCGAATCGAGTGATGCGAGGATCCGTGTCAATTTTAGATTTTCGGTTCAACCTGAACCTTACCATATTTTAAATGAGGGTCAGCAATCTGAACCCGAACAACACCTGTATGTCAAATGGGTTGATCTGCACCAGGAATTTTTCAGGACGTCGGATTCGAGATGAGGATCAGAAATCCGAACCCGAACAACACTTGTATGTCAAATGGGTTGGTCTGAACCAAAAAAATTTTCAAGTCGGATTCGAGTCGAGTCAAATATTGACACCCCAAGTGAAAATTGAGGGCCTTTTACTCTTTGGTATATGCTTCTATAACAATGAAAGCTAATCTTAAGCTGTAGAGAAGTTTGCCAAATTACTTAGATTTCATTTGTGATAGTTTTTTTATTATTTTCTTAAGGTGGAGATTTGTTTATTTTTGTCCAATTTTAGCTATTTTGTTCATTCGATTTATCCTACCTACTGCCTATTGTTATAAGTAGAGGTACATTGAGTTTTTTGTAAAGGGTAGGGAAAATTAAATAATGCTTTAGTTCTATTATGACACCTTTAGATTCAGCATCTGGATTGACATGTTCTGACCCGATTGGAAAAGCCACAAAAAGATGATTTGGGGAGAAAGAAGAGAATTTTTTTAGCCCCCGCTTCAAGTCATTTTCAGCCGTCAGCTCAGTTCAGAAAGTTGTCTGGATCGAGATAGGTCACACTACGTCTATCTCAATTTTTAAAATTATGAAAATTTTATCTAATTTTTTAATTAAATTTATTTTTTTGTCATCGAAAAATAGGGATAACTTTGCACTAGTAAAGATTTCACTGTGTAACTTTCATGTGTTATAAAAATTGAGATTTTGATCACTTTGAATATTTTTCTAAAATTTTATAATTGGGATTTTGAAATTTTTAATGAATATTTGGAATAGAAAATAATTCAAACTCTAAAAAAATAATGTTGAACAATTAAAGTCTAAAAATAGTGTTCTTTACGATCCTTGGTAATTTGGTTATTTATTTAAAAATTTCATTTTTACTTAATAGGGTTTTCTGTTGTCTATCATTATAGAATATTATGCAATCTTGACGCATGCTCAATTACACTTTAAATGTTATAATATAACGAAAAATGTGCATATATGATTAAATTATATCTACTAAGATAGATAAGGGGCTTTAATCCTTTTATATTTTGTTTGTGTCAGGAGATACTCTAGTGCCTATAAGGTATATTATGATTGTTATAAGTCATGTTCTGATGCCTACCGATATGTTCTAGTGCTATAAACATAAAATAGAGTCATAAAAGGTCATAATCCTTTGAGATTCTATTTTGCTCTGAGAAATGTGATATGAACTACTCTATGATATAAATTACAATTTATTTATCTACTCGGTAATAATGTTATTTAAATAATTGAATGGTCTTTATAATCTTATTATATTTCTCACTACAATGATCTATTAAACTGCATTTAACTATTTTTAAATAGTCAATAAAATGTTTAATAAAAAATTGAAAATTTAGATTCAGGTCTACTGAGCTGTTATAGCTCACTGTGATTTTGCTTCTAATTTTTAGAATCCGAGAAAAATGAGCTGATTAATTAGCAATTCATGACCTATCAGAGTTTATTTTGTTGATTTTGTACAGTTATTGTTAGTTTATCATGTAGTTTTGTAGCTTTTGCATATAACCATATATTATACAAAATGTAGATACTTTTTGATGAAATGAAGAAATATTTTGGATGAATTTATATTTAGTATGTGGATGTTTAGTAGCTCAATAGAAAATGAATATTAGAAGAGAATCTAAAATATTCTAAAATTAGATCTTGAGATTTGTCTGTCATATCTATTTTCCTCCTAAAAATCTATTCTCCCTCTCTCTTTCTTCCCTCACTCTCCCTTTACATTCAAGAATCATCCTCTTCTCCAAGAAATTCCTAACAAAAGTCATCCCAAATGAAGCTTTAGACTGTGGGGTTTTTCATCTATAGTGCAAATGAAAAAGCATTATATATTCTCTGACAAGAACTTTAAAAATTAGGAAAAATAAAGAAACAAAATATAACAATGGAGTCTTCTTCCAAAGGAATAAAATGTTATCAATACAACAAATTTGGATAAATTAAAAGAAATTATGAGGTCAAGTTAATAGAAGGAAATATTATCATGACTAATGATGTTTCTAAAGAATAGTATTAATAGGGAAGATATTTCATTGTAACACCTATATGACTCCTTAGGATGGATTGCTGACTCTGATTGTTAGAATCTCATTAAAGATATGAATCCAAATTTAAAAACTTTAAAAACTATGAAGGAAGTTATTCTATTATTCTTATATAAAAGATTATCATAAAGTTTTAAAAAATGAGTGCATTGATGCTTAATGATTTCGGAATTGATCCTTTGATCACACTCAAAATTGGGTATCATCTACATGATTTGAAGAAAAATCTCTTTTCAAAAGAAAATGCAATGGATGCTGAAATCATAAAGCATACAAAATGCCCTTCTAAATCAAATCTCCTCAAGACTTCTTAATGAAGATACATCTCTCTCAATCTCTCTAGGTTTATGTATCTTGTTTTGTATTGTATCTTATATAATTCAGCGGGCAGATTCAGTCTTATTTTTTAGGATGGACAAATTTATTTTATTTTTCATTAAAATTTATAAATTTAAAAAATAATTAAAAAATTACATATATAATTTCATCATACACATTCATTATATAATTTATATTATTTGTAAATGAATCTATATAAAATTGCTATGTTTGCTCTATGCTCTATCAACCAGCCTAAATTGATGGGCAAACAACACGAGATGAATCATATTAGGACAAAATTTTATTTTTGAGGGAGGAAAATTTTAAAAATTACCCCGTCTACTACTGAGACAAATGCCAACAATTAAAATACTTGAAAATGCCATAGGATTTGTAGTTAGTTGCCATGTTAATTTCTCATGGTTCATAAGCAGACCTTGCATTTAGTATGGTGCAGTACTAAGGGGTGTACAGTCTCTGAACATTTATCTAATAATATTGACTACTGTGCTTCCTCCATTAATAAACCATAAGCTTTTGAAGTATTCAATGGCCCACATCATTTAACATCAAAGGATAGTAACAGACAAAGCAAATGCTACTATAGATTGAGTAGAAAAGAGAGCCCCACAAAACTCGGCTCTTATTTACAAAACAACTCAGTAAAACACCACAGGAAATCATCAACACAGCGACAAAGATAACATGCAAGCAGGATACAAACAGATTTGTAACCAAAAACCAAACATGTAAGCATAATTAATTAAAGTGGATAAACAAACAAGTCTCTTAATTAGAAGAAGTGATGCTTCTTCTTCCCCTCGGCCTCCTCTTCCTCTTCCTTGGCTTCCTTCTTCTCGTGGTGCTCATGGAAAGCATAGCCACCTGAAGCCACGCCCACAGCTGCTGCAACCTCCTCTTCTATCTTATGCCTGTGCCCTTGCTCTGGATGCTTCTTGGACTCATGTTTCTCGTACTGTTCAACAATAATCAGTATTAAATTTAAAAAAATTTATGAAATAGTCCCTTGCATCAATAATTAAAAATTGGGGGATTTGCATACTTACAACGATTTTATTTTATGTTATTTAAAATCTAATATTAAAAATTTTAATATTACATTCTTATCATTCATATCAAATATATATATATCACTCTTATATTTCATTCTTATCACTTATAACATTCTATAAAGTTTAATATTTCATTTCATGTGCTCATATTTGTTTTATGAGTGGTCGGTAAATAATACTAAATTTTAGGCATTAGATATGTAAATAACATGAAATAAAGTGGTATGTATGTAAATTCCCCTAAATTGGATTCTATATATCCTCTTTTATTAAAGAAAAAAAAAAAAAGAATATTATAGCACGATAAATTATTTAAAATCATAATTTATTAGAATACTATTTCAATACTTTTTTTCATTTCTTTCAAATAATTTTTTTCTGATTTGAATTTCATATTTTATAATCATCTAATTGTTTTAATTATTGAAAATTTTCATTCTTTTTCAAATAATATAATTCTGAAATTACATATTTCTAAATTTTGAGTACAATATTTTCAAAATATAGAATTCTGAAATTTTTATTTATATATATATTTTTATGGGTAATTTTTTTTTTTATAAAAAAATTTTAAAATTTACCCATAGAAATATAAAAATAAAAAATTCACAACGTTGTTCTGTAGAGCTCGAGCTCCTCCAAGTTTTCAGGTATTATTGTATTGGCAGGTATTATTCTGTGCACTAGTTATATATTATTTACCGTCAGCTTTTCGCAATTTTAATATTATAATTGAAGTATTAAAATAATACATAAATAAATATAAAAATTAAAAAATTATATAATATTCATGTAAAAAAATAAATAAATAACAGAAAATCATTGAGGAAATAATGGAATACATAAGTGGATATATATACCAGAGCAAAGGCACCGGCGGCGAGGGCTCCCGCCTCGCCCAAGTGTTCCTTCTTCTTATGCTCCTTCGTCTCCTTCTCATAATCAGCGACAGTAGTCTCCTCAGTTTTATATGCGGTATAGCCGCCGCCATACCCCGTGTTATCGGAGTAACCGCCGCCGCCGGCGTTATAATCTGTGGTCTCGGTGTAACCGCCAGTGCCTCCATAACCTTGGTTATCTGAGTAACCTCCACCAGTTCCGCCGTAACCGTCGCCGGAGGCGCTATAATCTGTCTTTTGACCATAGCCGTCCCCTCCGCCGGTGGGGTAGCTGGCTTCGTCGAAGCGCTTCTCCTCCTCCTCCTTGTGGTGGTGGCCGAAGTGGTGGTGGTGGTGGTGCTCCTCAGACATCGTATTAATGGGTTCGGATAAGGAAAGGATTAGTGGGAGTTGATTAATGATGGCTTGAGGTGATCGAACGGTATCGGTGGGGTATTTATAGGGGGATAGAAGAGAGGATTGGGATGGACGGTGCTGATTTGATGAATCAGGATTGGAAATGGTTGTGGAATAATGGAGTTTTGCGTGGCTATCCGGCCGCCGCATATGCAAATAAAATCTGGGCTTTATTTTCTATGATATTATTTGTGTTAAAAGAAAATTTTATATATATATATATATATAATTTTTTTTTTCAAATTCAAACAATCATTAACATATGCTTAAGACAAGGGACGGATCCAGCTTCTTTTTATAGGGTGGGCAAGAAAATTTTTTTTTATAGGGGATGGCAAAAAATGATTAGAATTGATAAAATTATGACAAAAAAAAATTTTAAGAGGGGGCAAAATATCCAAAATATTCCAAAATATACCCTCTAAAATATAAAATTTTATTTTTGAGTACTATGGGGATCTGCCCATGCTTAAGACCGTGCACGATCTTCACGGGTGTGCATGGAATGATAAAAAAAAAAAAAGAAAGAAATATAATTCCATAATTTGCACATTATAATTAAAAGTTTAAAAATAAAAAGTAAGTTTGAAAGATCATGGTATGTGAAAAAGCTAAATTTGAGTAAGCTTAATCTTAAATTTTTATTGTTAGGCTTGACTCATTAAATAAATAAGTGAAATTTTTTTCTATTTTTTGTGCTGGTTTACTTTAACTTATTTGAACTTTTAAATATGTCTATTGTAATGTTTTAAAAGCGAACACATTTAAATTTTAAATGCTTACATTCAAAATAAGCGTCTCGATAAGAGAAAAATAACGAGCCTAAAATCTTTTATTTTTAAGGTCATTAAAAGACTTAAATGCTAAAAGAATGATTTATAATATTACTGTAACTTGATTACAGCCACTTAATTACCACCTCTAAACTACTATTGCATCATTCATTTTGCACTCAATATGACTAAATTTACTTTTCTTGTTGCAATAAAAGAGTGAGACCAATTTCAACGCTTAACATCACTTATAAAGTTGATGCAACTAACATATCTAGGCTTCATTATCTTTTTTTGCTAGCAATATTGGCATGGGTCATCACCTACAAGGCTAATGTACGTAATCAGCACCAATATTAATCAACTTAATTTATCACCAATAATGTTGTATACATCATTGCCAATAAAATCTATATATGTAACACTTCAGAATCAAATTTGGAAGAACCGTCTATTTATCATTTTAAGAATATAACAAAATTTTTATAAATTATCAATATAAATAATAACCAGCAAAAGTACGTAAATTATATACATCAAGATATTTTACTATTTATTCACCCAAAATATCATTTACACTAGCTAGAAAATCACTCTACAAAAAAATGAAAGAAAATACATAACCAATATTTAAAGAAAACCTGAGAATCTCTAACAATCTCGCTCCAACTAGTCCTAGTCTATTCTCTAACATGAAATAATTAAAAATTCATATAATGAGCTCAAAAGTCCAGTAGTAATCCAAAACTCATTAAAACTTTCAATGCAATAACTAAATATTCAATATGATATGCTCAGTATAATATAATCAATGGCAATCAATATAGTTAATAACCAAATATTATTAAAAAAACTCAAAATGATTACTAATAAAAGCAGTTAATCATTATAATGAATCTAAAAAATAATAATTTATATAAAATTCAATAAATCGGTAAAACAACTATGCAAAAATTATTCATAAATCACTAAAGAAACCTAGCTTATATATTCATATGTATCATTTATTTATGTATTATCAATGAATTCAATATTGCTAATAATATTAATGTATCTTTTAATATCATCAGTGCTATCAATATTTGCATGCATCAATGTATGATTTAGCAAGACAGAACATCCAACTTTAATGTAGTGTTTTTAACATCTCTTATCTTAACTGATTTCGAGTTGGTTATAAGTCATATCAATTATCACTTATCTAATTAATTAATTATCATATTCAATTAATCATGTGACTTCATTAAATAATTAAAGAGTCATCACTCTCTTCTTGACTGCATAATCGGTCATCTGTTATAGGTTATAACCAGAATAACACCACAAACAATCTTTAAATAATATTTAAACAAATGTCCGTCAGTCAATCCTATTAATCCATTTTATGGTGCTAATAGTCAGTCTTTCTTGCTTATGTAAATGTCACAGTTAAAATACAGTAGGAAATAATCAATTCTGTATAATATAAAAAATTTAATTATATATATATACACACGCATGGTTTTTTGTGACGAGGAAGCACTGTCCTTAGGCCAGTTGAAAACCACCGAATCGATATAGCATTGCAACCCACACCAATTTACACTGGCCAACATTTAAGACTTTCACTTGCTTGCTAAAGGTTCGAACCAGGGACCTAGGCTTTTGCCAGCCGGCTACTCACCACCGGACAAGCAGCAGCGGGTATCAACAATAGTTCGCACAAGTGTGAACAAAGAGGGAGACATGAAAAAGCTGGTTGAAAAAAAAAATATAGTACAAAATTTTAATTTTTAAACTAAAACTCTATTTTTTTAAAAAAACAATAGAAAAGTCGTTTCAAATGAAGCTTAAAGGTTTGAAAACTAAAATTTCGTTTGAGACAGTCTTCTTATTGCTTCTTAAAGCAGTATTTTATTTTGTACTAAAAAATTGTTTTAAAAATTAAAAAAAAAACTGTCCCAAATGGAAGCCTAAGGCTTAATTTGAAATCTCAAGAGATTGTTGACGCGTG